GGTGGCCAGGTCATGGGAGTCCTCCCTTTCCAAGCTAGCCGTGTCTCTGGCAGCCTTCCAAGCCACTGCCTGGACCCTGCCGCTTCCCCAGGTTGGCAGGGGAATCCAGGCCCTCCCTGGCTCAGCAGCCACAGTCTGCTCCAGCTCTGACCTGGTAGCTGTTTCCTGGCTTGCTTGCTCCTTCCTGGCTTTGTACTGGCTCCTCAGCCCTGGTGCTTCTCCACGTGCCGCCTGTCACGGGTGAACTGGCCCGCCTTCCAAGCCACTGCCTGGACCCTGCCGCTTCCCCAGGTTGGCAGGGGAATCCAGGCCCTCCCTGGCTCAGCAGCCACAGTCTGCTCCAGCTCTGACCTGGTAGCTGTTTCCTGGCTTGCTTGCTCCTTCCTGGCTTTGTACTGGCTCCTCAGCCCTGGTGCTTCTCCACGTGCCGCCTGTCACGGGTGAACTGGCCCTTTTGACCCACTTAGGCCTTGAGCGGGGGAGCCCCACCCCCGGTCACAGTGATGGCTATCGCCCAGGGACGGACTGGCCCGCTCTCCCTGCCGTCTGCTGAAAGAGCAGCTCCGCTCCAGTGGGGCCAGAGGTCTGTCTTCATCGGCTTCTGGACCGGATCCCCTCGGACCGAGGCCTGCATGTGGCTCGCGGTTCGCCGTGAAATGCTCCAGTTGTTGGGCATTCGCAATGCCCCTCATCGGCGCGCCGCCCCGGACAGATGGGCAGGCCATGTACCCAGGGCTAGAGAAATACCTTGGGTGCTTTGTCAGCTACTGTCAGGAACTGCTTCTCCCTCCTGCCTGACGCCGAGTGCTCACACAGCCCCGACCCAGCATCCCCGGGGCAGAGCCCAGTGTGGGCAAATGACCGCCGCCACCCTGGCTTCCACCCAGCCTGGCCGGCAGCCTCCCAAGCCTGCTAGCCAGCACCGGGCAGCGGCAAATTCATCGTATCTGAAATGTGGGGGGTTATTTTGAAATAACTCCCTAGCGTAGACCAAGGGCTAGTGTGTTACTATTCTGCCAAGGCCTTCCCTGGTTCATGCTGCTAGCTATTCCTAGGCTCCTGCATGGCCTGCGTCCCTGACCTGGTCAGAAGACATCAGCAAGGCCTTCTGGACACAACAGGCCAGGGGCTAACCTGGAGGAGGAGCCTGTAAGGCTAGAACCTGGGTCTAGGGAGCCGGGGACAGCAGATATGCTCGCTTTGCCCCGGCTCCCGGAGGTGCCAACTGACAACCTCCCCTTGCATGGTCCCTTAGCATGGAGCTGTCCAACCTCACATGTACAGGTGACACTAGGAGGACCTTTCCAGACCTGGGGAAGAGGCCCTCTGTGTACCTTCAAAAGCCTGTCTCCTTTCCCGGGGCAGATGAGCCAATAGATAGATCACCTCACCCGCCTTGTCTCTCTGGCACACCGAGGAGGGTCAGGCCAGACCAGCACCTACACGGGTGGCTGCTGATCAGGCTGGTGGTGCGTCCAGAGGAAGTTCCCCAGCCTGGTGCCAGGGGGCGCTGTGTTGCAGGAACCCCCAGGTCCTGACCATTTGGGTCGACAGGGTCTGGAGGTAACCTGGGCCAGAAACATGTAAGCCGGGCGCTTGTGCGGCCGCTCCAGAGAGATTTACATGCCACTCAGCTGGCTAGCAGAGCACCCACTGCCAGGGTTTGTTTCTTACTGCTGGTGCACATCCGCACATGCCTCAGTGCAGATAAAACAATTTATTCCGCACATGCCTCAGTGCAGATAAAACAATGTATCCGCTCCTGGATGGAAAAAATCCACACGTGGATAGAAAGGACTAGAGGGAACATTGGGCAACATAGCAGAAAGCCCAAGCAACTGGGGCTAACGGTGCCCTGTAGGGAACTTGGGGCTATGTCTAGACTGCAGGCTTCTTTTGGAAGAAGCTTCTCCAGAAGAGATCTTCCGAAAAAACTTCTTCCAAAAGGGAGTGTCCACACTGCAAAAGGGCATCAGAAAAACAATCTGCTTTTTCGAAAGATAGTGTCCACACTGAATGGACGCTGTCTCGCATTTAAGCTGTGATGACTATGGATGGAGTGGCTACCAGAGCACCTGTGCTTTTTCCTCTTTCCTCTTCTTTCGAAAGAACTCCCTCTTTCCCGTCCACACACGCCTTTTTCCAAAAGAGCTCTTTCGCAAAAAGGCTTCTTCCTCGTAGAAAGAGATTTACCAATGTCAGGAAAACCCCTCTGTTCTTTCGAATTTTTCCAAAACAATGAGATCGCAGTGTGGATGTAAGTGATGGGGGTTTTTTTTGGAAAAACGGCCATTTTTTCTGAAAAAACTCTGCAGTGTAGACATACCCTGAGAGTCAGAGGTTTCAGCACAACAGTTTGCTGGGTTTCTTGCAGTGTGGTTGAAAATGTGTCCACTTTGATCAAATGTCATTTAGAACCCCCGTCCCCGCCTCCCGAAATAACATCAGACGTTCAGACGCTTTCCGAGTGGAGTGGTTTGGGGCGGTTGTTGAGATTTTTCATTTTGAAACAATCTATTTAATTTAACCAAAGTCG